CAGATCACGGAGGGGAATCCTCCCTTGGACAGTCTGCCCGTCTGGCGCAGGTTAACCGGGATCGCGCGTTGGCGGAACTTGCGCTCGCTCGAGCAACCCTGACGCAAGTCACCTCCGATCAAGCAACTCACCCAGACTACCGAGGATCGGGCGCTCGTCAATCGCGACACGGCCCTCCAACACCGAGATCAGGCGATTGCGGAGCGCAATCAGGTCCGCTGGGATCTCTACACCGAGGCTGCCCGCGCTGCCCAACTGGACGATGATCTTGGAGTGATTCGCTTCGAGCTTCAGGGATGGGAGGGCAGGATGGCGGATCTCCAGCTTGCCCACGACCAACTCGGCGAGCTGCGAGATCTCGCCGAAAGTGATCTGAAAGAAGCTGATGTGCTTCTCACGCACCTCGCCAGCCGGATCTGCGAGAGTCAAGCGGCTCGGATGCCGAAACGTGAGCGAAGCCCGCCCAGTCCATCTCCCCAACTAACGCCTCTCAAGGATCCTCGCAGTGATCGGCCTACTTCTCCACTGCCCGACCAAGACCAACCCGAGGACGAGGGTCCGAAGGACGAGGAAATCGAAGATCAGCCCGAGCTCGAAGGTTCGGAGGGCGAGGGAACCGAGGATAAGCCCGAGATCCCAAGCGGAGGTGGAGGCGGTTCCGATGATGGCGACTCCTCTCTTTCCGATCATGGACCCTCGACGCCCCCTCCGACGCCTCTCGGATCTCCCGGAGGAAGTCCCAGTGGTGGTTCCCCTGGCTGCGGCTCGCCTCTCCAACGGAACCCGCCGCTATTCCTGTCGAGGCGAAACTTCCTCTATATTCTAAGGTCAAGCTCTTCACCGCAGCCGAGATCACCCCGTGGGATCCCGCCATCATGGGAACCGTGCCGATTCTCGTCATGATCCCGGCGACATTGACCAAACGGTTGCCGATCCCGCCTGGCTTCCTGTTCCCTGTTCGGACGCCCTTTGTCCGGGCGCCCATACCCGTGACCGGTTACCGTTCGGAGCTGATCACTGGTGCCAACGTTTTGGCTTTGGTGGCTACGGAGCCGTGGAGCTTACTTCGACAGAATCGCCCCACTCCGCTGACGTTTGACCACAACCTCCACCGGCGGGCTGCGACCCTTCTATGGCGGATCGCCGTATCGTATGCTGCGCTGGAGGAGGATCACCTGATAGCGTAAGCATATTGGGAATCGACCCATTACCTCGAGACCACGAAGGCGATGGCCACCACGGACCATTATCTTCTCGTCTACCATCAGGACCGACGTCAGTGACGCATCCGCGCTGGAGAAAGTTGGCAGAAATTGTTGGGGGAGTGTGTACTAATGATGAGGGCTCAGTGGGCCGATATCGACGTCCTGCTGGATCCTTATTTCCTCCACCTACCGATTACCCGGGATTGGGTACGTTGGTACACCGGATCGGTCTCCCGCGCGGCCAATCTTGCGCAGCCGACGGGGAATCTCTCTGAACCGACCGACCTGATCACGGCCCTGTTTGAGTGCGATCAAGCGGATCCTTGGCGAAATCATGATCGCGATCCCGGTTCCGCTATCCGCCGCTACAGATCCCTCGTCTCGTTAACAAGTTCAATCCTCCAGTGGCCCCTTGAGCTTCGATCTGGCTTCAACTCGACGCCAACTTCTGTGATCCCCACTCTTATCCCGCGATCTCGGTTCCTCTTTACTTTAATTCTAAATTTCAGCCACGTCTTTGCCTGTTTGCTGGTTTTGTCGTTCCTCCCGAGTGATCTCACTTGAGACGCATCGCGCCTTCCTTGATCCCCTGCGAGGGTCGACCTTCCAATATATATACAGCATGAACTTCTGATCTCAGTCTCATCCGACTTACACTTCGTCGGGGTCGAGACGATCAGATAATCTCACCCCGTCCTCCTTACATCTCCTCATGCGATTGCATCACATTGAAGCGATTTCGATTAGCCCGTTCTCACAGGAAGGCGTTCAATATTGCCCCACAGTTGAGATCGGCTTCGGCGATCCAGATCGGCTCGTCATATCCTTCCCAATGCACCAGGAATTCTCGGTAGATCCGACCAAATCGCGTGTTCTTCCCACTCCGCATACCCGAGATCCGGCCCCGAGGTCTGGGACCGAGCTGTCCTCCGGAAGCAGGATCTCATCGAAATCGAGACGATCCGCTTCATCCACCGTGAGTTCTACTCGCGGCCGATCCGGAAAATCCTTGACCAATTTCAGCTTCGACAAGTGCACTACTGGGAAGATCTGGTACCCGGTACCTGCGATCTCGAGCTTGACGCTGAATTCGGTGATCTTTTCGGCAACTCGGAACGGCCCATGCCACAGGTGAGCCAATTTCCGCGCGTATACTTCCTTCACCCGATCTAGGTATAACAAGATACGAGATCCGGCATCGATCTGGTGCGATCCGACATCCTCGTTGTGTCGGCCGGCCTGATCTGCAATGGCCTCCTTCAATCTAGCGTTGACTTGTTCTCGGGCCTGCTGATAATACCGTTGGATCTGATATCGCCACCGCCGAGCGTCTCAATCGCGCCGTCTAGTGCAACCGACTGGCAGTGTGGCTTCCAACGTCGATGTCGGATCCCACACATGCACCAAATAGTGAGGGGTATCTCCTCGGATCCGATCGTGAGCCGTGTTGATCGCGAAGGTAAGTCGCTCGGCATACTCGTCCCAATCCCTCTGATCCAGATCGCGAATATACATCTTGAGCGACCTGGTCGCCGTTTGTACCATTCTTTCGGCAGTCCCGTTGACTTGTGGCCGATATGCCATCGTCGCCTACTGCCGTTGTCCCAGGATCTTGTTAAACGCCCGGAAGAAATCGGACATGAAGCCGGGTTCTCGATCATGCCGGATCATCGTGTGGCGAAGCGGGATCCGTGAAAATCTCGTGATCGCGGTTCCCGATACCACT